CTTAGTTCCAACTTACATATCTGCTTTCCCTTTCAGCACATATGCGGGATAATCCTATATCTGAACATGCCACAGACCAAGCTTACATTCAGTCCACAGTTCTATAGATGTCTCAGGTACTAGCTTAGAAGGAACTAAATTCAGAATGTAATTTGAAGTTTCCGAAATATTCCAAAAATAAATAAGGCAAATCTGAATAACACGTCAGTAGTCTATCCATATCCAAAAGAGACTTATTTCTTCTTTCTACTACACGACTCTATTATGGAGTTTACAGTGTAGTCAATTGAGATGTAATCCCTATTCTGATATGTAACTAAAAAGCTCTTTAGAGAGATGCTTGCCACTACAATCAAATTGTAGTAACTTAATATATTTCTTTGGTGCTTCTCTATTTCAAGTCTTAAAAACCTTGAATTACTTAATTCATTAAGACTTACAGTGCATCAAATAAATATATTAATATTTTGAGTAATCATTTATGAACGTCATAAAATACTCAAAATCTATCTCTTACGAGTATGTTCATTTAACCATACAAATCAGAAAGGATTCATTCTAGCTTATCACTAGTTTTATTTCCTTTTAAAGGGAAACATCTTTTAGTCAAATTTCCTTCCAAACAGGATCCACAAGTTGGTAGTGCCTCTACTTTCAATGAACCTTAAGGTCCATACTTGACCAACTTGAAATCCTATCCAGATTAATATGACTTAGATAAAAGTGCACAGATAAGTTTTACTCAATTTTGAAGAACATATTCTCTTATGAGGTAGACTAATATTGTTCTGTTCAGGAGAGACATCAATATATAATAACAAGGTCATGCATTCATGTACCACAAGAGATAAAGTGTTTATTAAGCTCAATAACTCAAGAGTTATTCGAAAAATAAAACAAATATCCATCTCTTATTTTGCCCAGAAACCGGAATTAAATTCCTTCTAACAAAAGTACATATATTGCATCCTTAAAATTAATGCCTTATCACTAAAAGAAAATTTTAACAAGTAATACGACAAATTGCATAAAATCATTGTGGAGTTGAGATAAAAATATTAAATAGATCATAATAAGTCAAAACACTGAATAGTAAAATTCAGACTGCATTCAATATTTATATACATACATGCATCTGGAATAATAAATTTCGATGGGAAAAGAATTATTCATGCAAAGTATATTATATAATGCAAGAATTATACAATCCAAAAATAAATAGAACCAACTCAGATGGAGAGCATACTATTATTTTCAGTCAATTGTATATAACTTTTTAATACAAAAATTTTAAAACACACTACACATATATGTCATGCATCTTGAATAGCAATTTCGATGGGAAAGAACTACTCATGCAACATACATATGCAATGCCAGATTATTCACTCCAATAATTAAAACAGACCCAACTCAGATGGAGAGTATACTGTTAATTTAAGTCAAGTGAACATCATTTTTAATAGCTCTAGTTTCATTGATCCAACATGTATACTCAGATGGAGAGTAAGTACACGATATCAATTACTAGTATTTCACCTAGTGAGCTTACAATAAATTTATCCGATATGGAGGAAGACCTAAAGTCAACGCATAAATTTATTACTCACTTGAAATTAATAGTGGAAGACCATAGAAATATATTTCTATCACCACTTAATCATGATTGTATTGTAGTTACAAAATTGATTCAACCCTTTAAGCTCAGATGGAGAGTTAATACTGGTTATCAATAACTAGTAACTATAGCCAGTGAGTTCATAATAAATTTATCCGATATGGAGGAAGACCTAATGTCAACGCATAAATTTATTATCTCACTATAAATAAAAAAAATGAAGACCATAGGGGTTTATTCCCATCACCACTTTATCACAACCACGAACTTTTCTCTGAGGATTAAGTTCCATATTAAAAAAAATGCTCAATACCCATTTAAACAGTCTTAAAATACTAAAATTAATATTTCACACTGTATAGTGGTGATTATTGTTGACTGGACTATTTCTGATAAATCTACCAAATTTCATATCAATCAAAAATTGCGACCAAATTTGGAAAATTATCATTTTAAGCATTTTTTTAAGAATTTAAAATATGACCTACATTTTTTTTTTCCATATACCAATTCATGTCAAATCAACATGTGTTATCATGTTCCAGATTAGACATATAAAATGATAGAAAGAATGACTTTTCGTATGTAAATCACATTTTAATCCGTCAAACCTCCAAAAAACTCACCTAAACGATCCCAAATCGTCAAAATACGATGTGATTCACTGCATAGCAGTGAGTTCTTCTTAAATGATCGTTTCCAATGATCCTACCGAATTTCAGGTCATTCGGAGATCGTGAAATTCATGATCGCCAAAAACTAGACCAAATTCGAATAAATTATTTTTTTTGGCGTAGTCAGGATTAAATCCATGTGATTTGCATTCTTGCTATATATCATATCAAGTTAAATCATCATGTTTCAGATTTAACACAAATATAGCCGATATATAAAGAATAATTTTTCATATTTATAACAAATTCAATTTAATAAACTGCTTGAAAACCCATCTAAACGACCTCAAAATGCCAAAAAAACAACATGATTCACTGCATAGCAAGGAGTTTTTTTTCACTAGATTGTTTTCGATGAACCCACCAAGTTTCAGGTTAATCGTAGTCCANATTTAATCATGGGGACCATGGGGAGTCATCCCCAACACCATTGAATTAAAAAAGAATTAAAATTATTAAGAAATAATTTCCAGAAAATAGAAAAACGTCCAAAATACAGTCCAAACGACCTCAAAACGCCGAAAAATACCATGATTCACTGCCAAGGCAGTGAGTTTTTCTCACCATGGCGTTTTCGATGGACCCACCAAATATCAGCTCAATCGGAGTCCGTCAAGTTCGCTGACCTCCGAAAATTCCGGCTATTCGGTCAAAAACAAGTTTTGCGTTTTTCTAGGGTTTACCCCAAAAAATTCAGATAATCTCAATCAAATATCAATAAGAAAACATATATCTCATGATTATAAGAATAATCCATAAATTATGCACAGTTAATTCACAAAACAGCAGTGCAGTTTTTCAGAAAACCACAGATATATGTAATTCAAAAAATGCACATAAACACCATATTCTTGTTTCATGAAAAACTTAGTTATCTAATTAGATGTGAGTGAGCTCTGATACCAATTGATGGATTATTATATGCAGCGGAAGCAATCCCAGTATCAAAATCACATGTAATTTAGACAACTAGCATAAACGGGATTTCACGGGTTACCTCTTGAAGCGTGAACATATCTCTTCTACCACGTGAGCCTTCAGTTCCATAACTTCTCAATGGAATCTCCATCACCCGCACAATCGTGATCCTCGAACGTTCCACGGTCTTCTACTGTGTTACCCAAATAATACCCGAAAATAGCAATTTCGTGTGGGCGAAATTTCTAGGAAAACTTGGCTGAAAATTTCAGCCACCATGTACTCATCCCTCTAGGTGGAAAACCTTATGTATTTATAGCACAAGTTTTAAGGGTTAAGACCCTTTTCCAAAACCTGTTAGGTTTTCTTTTCCACCAGAAAAAGGATTCCTTTATTTCCTATTATTTAGGCACAGTAGGGACCACAGAATTTAATTAACAAGGCTTCCAATTATGGAATTAATTTGTAATTTTCGAAATTAATATCCACCATAATTAATTACGAATTATTCCACTAAAAATTCGTAATTACACTCCTTATTCAATTTCGAAATTCATCCATTAAATCTTATTTAACTCCCCATGTTAAGATTCAGATACGAATCAATTAAATTAAATTACTGACGATTTAATTTATTGATTATTTCCTTTAGACTTTCGCTTAACTTATTTCATGTGTCGGATACAAAATCCACCGGCCGGGTTTACACATGCAAACTTATAAGCTTTCATAAAGGTATATCATCAATCTCTAAACCGAGACATGGATTCCATCAACTAACTATTACTTCGCCAATGTATATTATTATTATCCAATTTACCAGGCATATTGACCCACGAAAGAATCTCGCTTTTTAATAAATCAAAACAATAATAATACACACAGCTAATAATAATCTTATCAAGATTAAGAGTATAAGTACATTTAATGGCTAGAGAGTTTATTTTATTAAGTCAGTATAAAATACTTATCTCTACCTGGTCCGTTCAATACATACAAAATGTACTAGCACAAGAAGTTGGAATTAAACCATTCCCATAATCAAGATTAATTATATTTAATCTTGTGCTACAATCATTCCTGATGGTTTGTCCAATTCCACCATTAGATTGTGAACTCAAACTTTATACTTATAAGAACCGATGATTTAATCTTCCGTGTATAAGCTAAACTCTATACACTAAATCATCTACTATATAAGCAAAGGACACAGACTATTATATGATCTATTTAAAACTTTATTAAAACTGAATAAACAATTATTTCATAATAAATACTATATCTAAACCAAACTCATGGTTAATAGTATATATCCCAACAATATATGTGATAAGAGATCTATAACTTTCGCCAGTAACTCAAATGGTCACAGGTTTAGTGACATTCCCAACCAATAAAGTTCAAATCTTGGATTCGTCTCTATTAACAGAATTCTTAGCCAAATGAGTAGAGGTAGTACACATCCATTCGAGTAGAATTCTAGCCAAAAGAGCTGATCAGAGGGCAACTCGGTGCATTAAGCTCCCGTTATGTGCGGGGTCCGAAAAAGGATCGGACCACAAGGGTCTATTGTACGCAGCCTTACCCCATATTTATGCAAAATGCTGTTTTCACGGGTCAAACCCGTAAGCTCCAAAGAGCTGATCAATGAGATAATATGTACACTTGTCTTAAGATGACAATTATGCGCTACTTCACTCATTGTCTTAAGATATTTGATTAAAACATGAAGCCATAATAAACAGATTTTTTCAATGCTTTAAACTTATGTCACGTTTAGCCCGTGAAAAAAAACAGCACAAACACAGATAAAAAGAAGAATTTGTTCTCTAAAATTGTACGTATACATCGTATACAAGAAATTATATTTAGATAAAATTGGAGAAAGAATCAACAAATTTCCAATTATATATTTTTATTTATTATATCACCGACTATATATCGGGTTATAATGTTATAGTTGGAAATCTATTGATTCTTTCTCCAAATTTTTATATATATAATATTTTTACTTATTTATATCATCGGCTGGTTTAGTACCCGCACAATATACAGATAGTATTGTGATCCTGCTAAAATTCATAAATTTTAAAAAAAATATATGAATAACTATTGGCAAAAATCCGTCGGTGATATAAATAAATAAAAATATTATATGATTCAAAATAAATCATATTATGTGAAGTATTAATTAATAAAAATAAATTTATTAATATCTTTAATTTAAATTATAAAAAATATTTTATTTTTATCTCTACATAAGTACCTCCCACAACAACATCAATTTCTACCAATCTAAAGTTATACAATTTATTACATTTAGTATTTCAACATTGAAAGACAAACTAATATATACACACGAGATGATTTATTGATAACCAAACTTATTCTGATTTTTGGGAGTTACCAATATATATCATAGTTGAATTGAAATTTACTCAATAAATTTGATATCACTTACCACACAATTAAAGTCACTTTTCTTTTAACAATCTAAATGACACCTTTGGGATATAGCTTCGATAAAACTCTTCAACTTTATGGGTTTTAATTATATTTAGCAATTAATTTCATTAGAATCAATATTTTTCCAAATAAAGTTACACAATTTATTACATTTAGTATTTTAATATTGAAAGACAAACTAATATATACATAAATGATACATAATTTATACCAATTTTTAGTAATATCTTAAATTAAATTACAAAAAAGTATATTTGTCTTCAGAATATTTTCAGTATAAAAACTTTAGAACTATGTCACGTTTAGCCAGTGAAGAAAACAGGAAACACAAATACGGATAAAAAGAAGAATTTTGTTCTCTAAAATTGTACCTATACATTGTATACAAGAAATTACATTTAGATAAATTTGGAGAAAGAATCAATAGATATATCCTTACATCTTTTTTTAATATAAAAATTCCTTACAATATTAAAAAAAATTGCAAATGCACCTATGAGCTCAGACTGATACTTTTTCTTTACTAAAAGTTTTATGTATTTTGTGGAGTATTAGGTGGCTACCAATTGTGATAATATTCCCCTGTTTTTAAATATTACAATGGGTAGTTACATCACCCTAAACAGCTAACCAAAATCACAGATGCAACCTTATGAGCTCAAACTAATCCATTTTCCTAAATAAATCTATTTACACTATTATTATTTGCTAGCTATCAACTGTCATTATATTCCCCTCTCGCTAATGCCCAAAACCCTCCAACACTTTGTAAAATAATTAGAGATATTAAAATGTGAAAGCAGTGCATCATCTATTTAATTCATTTTCCCAATTTATCAGTACAATTTTGCTACTATTCAATTTCTATTAGCGGAGCCAGGATTTCAAGTTTATGGGTTCGAGATTCTAATCGTTTTAAGTTATTGGGTTCTAAATTAGTAATAATTTACACATATTCAATGAATTTTTAAAGAGGAATACAAGGTTTGAAGCAAAACTACCGGATTCGACCGAACCCACTTCCGATACTCTAGCTGACTACTATATGTTTTTTCCCTTGGTTTGATTTAATTTCTTACTGCGTGTTATTTTGTTGTTATTGTTCTTGTCTTCATTATTTTCAATATGGTTGTTTCACTACTTTTTTTCTTGAGTTGAGTACCTGTCGAAAATAGCCTCTCTATCTTCACGAGGCACGAACACGAATTGTGTACATATTACCTTCACCGACCCCACACTGTAAAAATATTGTGAGTATATTATTGTTGTTGTAGTAGTACCATTTTGCTCTAGACATACACAACACACATGTATCATGTATGTATACATATACATTATATAGGTGTAGTTTTGTGTATTTGGTAGAATTTTCTTGAAATTTATGCATTTGCATTATAGTGGAACTACCATCATTTATTTATTTTTCTACCGAAATTATATCCCAATAAATTCGTAAAACAACACGAATCAATTCCAGCTCTAATTATCGACCAAACAATCAATAAAAAAGTTAAAAATTAGTACCTCTTTAATTTTTTGGTAGCTAGAATATAACTTTATTATATTTATAGTTAGTTGACGCATGTCATTTAGTGAGCAAGAAATAAGATAATTCTAAGATAATTGTTGCATATCTGTCATTTGTTTGCTTTTAAGCCTAACCTTCCTATGATTGCGACACTAAAAGTTCACAAGTCACTATACTATAATAGTATGATTTATGTCATATATCAACCAACACATCAACTTTTATCCTCAAAGAATTTGGAATATTATTCAAATAAATAAAATAATTAGACGTGTTGGATTTTAGGTGGCTTCTTTATCCAAAAAAAAAAAAAAAACCAAAATTTAGGTATTACATCCATCGTAAGAGAGCATAAGGGTGAATGCTTTTGATAAACCACTTCATTATTAGATTAAAGTTCTAAATATTAAACTTAATTAAGAAGATTATGGTAAATTAGTTGGATGTTGGAATTTTCATGGGCCACCTTGCTTTGAGTGGAGAATTAAATTAGATAAACTAACCTCCAAGAAGCTTTAGGATTATTTTTGTTTTATAGTTTTACTTAGGATTGGGATATGTAAATAGAACAAATCACTTAACACATTATTCTTGTCGGTGAATCTTTTTTTTTTTTTTGGTTTATCATTCAGTATTCGGTTAGCTTCCTGTATAATTAATCTGTCACCACAATTTTTTTTGGAGGGGGATAAAAGAAAAAGGTGAATCTTTTTTTCTCTCGAGCGTATGGTAGATTTTCATAGGCATTTTTACATAAATAATCGACTGGATTCGTTGTTTATTTTTCATAGTTGGTAGATATATATGTATAATATTGATTATACACAATTATACATTATTACACATATAAATCTTTATACAAATAGCGGGTCAGTTCTACTATTTATTTTTCATAGCTGATATTCATAATATATTAGTTATATATAATTATACACATATTGTACATGAATTATACATATATTATAACTGGCTATTTTTAATTTAAGTGACTTAATAGACGCCTATTTAAATTAATTATTTATTCATGAATGCACAATCTTGTCTCTCTTCCTATTGAAAGATATCATGATACATGCATGAGTTCTCACAAAATTAAGAAAAAAGATAAAATAAACATATTTTCATAAATGCAATTATTGATTGGTTACACACATTGGATTGAGACAAAGTTTATGCACATAAATTCATTCTAACATTGATTCCCCACCCACAAAAAGGGGAAAAACAAAGTGAAAGAAAAAGAGGGAAGTGTTCTTAAGAAGATGCATGGAAATAATAAGTTAGGTAATGATTATTATTCTTAAAAAAACATGCAACAACATAGTGACAGTCTAGTTGCTTGAAATAGGTTCAATAATGGGTCCAAAAATTCTAAATCAATTTTATATTTTGGAGAATAATTTTATGGTCAAACTAGAGAGATTATAAGAATAAACTAAAATAAAAAGTGTGGTTGGAATTGAAATATTAAAAAAGGTTTTAGTGCTTTATCAAAAGGGTTGGCAAATAGTAATCAAAGATGGGACCAAAGCAATAATTGATTGCACAATTCTTTGTCTCTAATCATGTTTTAGTTGAGACATAAACGTCATCTTGACTGTTTAACTCTTTATGGTTAAAGCATCAAGTTTAGGCATTTTTTCTCTAATCTACTTGAGTTTATCAAGATAATCTTTTTGTTTAATTAAAAAAGAATGAAAAGAAACCCATAAGCCACCATGGTGCAAATATACAAAAAAAATTGTTAGGTATTTTTTGCATTTGATTAAGTCTTAGCGGGTAATATTATCGGATATATTTACTGGTAGAAGATAACATATACCTAATAATTAAGTTGCATGCAAATTATCAAGCTACTTTAAAATTTAGCTATTGTTATAGCTAAAAGCAGGGGCGGAGCTAGCTCTTCGCTTACAAGTTTGATCGAATTTGTCCAAATCCTCTATTTATTTTATAAAATTTATTAAATATGTATAAACTATAAATTTTGAATTAAGTAATTTAAATACTAAAATTGTGTACCCAAAAACTTGAAATCCTGAGCTCTCTCTGAGTTAAGACAATTTTCATTGGCCTCTTAGCCATTATTACCTTATTATGGTCTTCATATTTCTTTCTTTTCTTTTTCCACTTTTCACATAGTCAACCTATGAATGCATGCACCTAAGTGAAAAATGACAAAAATTATCCCTTAAATATATTTTAAAGCAGTTTTAATTTAATAAGTTAGTGAAAAATAGCACTTTTGATCTTCATCAAATATTAAACAAGCCTTTGATTAAATTCAACGAAAGTTTTGAAAATAAAAGGAATTTAACATGAGCTCACGTTTGGTGATGTAGCTTTGCAGTTTCAACTATTTTTTGTTTATTTCTGGAGTTTAGTGCAACTATTAAATATGTAGTTTGTACATTTTTTCTATTTCTGGTGTTTGGTTCAAATTGAGGTGTAGTGATTTTTGGGATTTGACTGATTTTCTTGGTGTTTCTGATTAATTTTTTTCCCCATAATATCCTGTTGAATCTAATAATAAGAGTGTGTTAATTATTTGACGAATATATTTAAGGGACCATTTTCAACCCTCACATAGAAGAGAATATTTTTTTTTTTCATTTTCTCTGCCTAAAGGACTAGATAGTATCCTGAATTTTACTACTAACAAATAGTGTTTTTACTCAAATAGTGTATTTATATTAAAAAATTTATTAAATATATACAAGTATTAAATTTAGACACTAACGTTGTTATTTTAAAATTCAGAATCCATTAGATTGAAATTTTTGGCTCCGTCCCTATGAACAAAGTGGAACAAATAAAAAGATTTCCCTCATTTTTCTTTTTTCTTATTGATACTTGAAATCCTCTTTTTTTTTTTGGTCTTATTATCATTATTATTACTAGTGGTATTATTTTATCTATTCTTGTTTCCTTTTTCCTTTTTTTCTCTTTTCCATTAAATTATTTGGAGTTGAAAGTTGAGAAGCAGAGACATATAAATACATGAGTAACAGGGACGATCTACATATAGTGACACACCGCTCCCTGAACCGCTGGATAAAGGCGCAAACTCACACAAACAAACTAAACCCAAACCCAAAAAAAAACAAATTAAGTACTACATCTTTTCTAAAGGTCAGTTACAAGAAAATTCAAACATTTCACATCTCTCTTCTGGGTTTAATGTTCTTGTTCTTTTTGATACATTTTTGGTAAATCTTTCTTCCTCCAAAATTTAAATTTATTGTGAGTTCATTTAGTTCGTTGTTATTGGTACTTGCATTGGGAATTTTGGTTTTAATGCAATGTAAATTCTGGGATGAGATCCACATAGGGTCTCAACAGTGTTTCTTTAAGCAAATGTGGTTTTAAAGGATGTGTCCTTCTGAGTATAAATACTGAGGTTTTATTGAGGGTAGCTTTGTCGTTACTAGTAAAGTTGCCTCTCTATGTGAACAGGAGGGGGTTTGAAACTGCCAATTGTAGAACTGTGTAAGTTAAGGCCGCGTATAATGGACCTTTATGGTTCGGCCTTTCCGGACCCTGCACATAGCGGGGGTTTGGGAGTTTAGTGCACCGGGCTGCCTTTACTGAGGATTTAGCTATAGTTTTGGTAGGTGTAAGTATTTGGAAGGAGCTAAGGAATGTGGAGTCTTGAAATGGGTTATGTGGTATAATTGTGATTTTTCAGCTGACTCCAGATTTCAGTTGGAGAATCAAATGAAGTTCTGGAGTCTTGGAATAACTTTTTCCATTGATTAGATAGGATTATTCAGAGTTTAGAGGTTGACTTAGAGGTGAAATTCTGATACGGGGTTCCTGATAATTTACAATGTTTTGTTTTACATGACACCAATACATGTAATTTTGTTTTTTCTATGTTTTAGCTGGTACTCCTCGAATGAGAGTTTTGGTGTAACTGGTAAAGTTGCTACCATGTGACCAGGAGGTCACGAGTTCGAACCGTGGAAACAGGGTAAGGCTGCATATAATAGATCCTTGTGGTCCGCCCTTCCCCGCGCATAGCGGGATCTTAGTGCACTAGGCTGCTCTAGTTGGTACTCCCTTGGTCCCAAGTTTGGCATTTTTCTTCTACTATTTTTTTTGCTTAGTGAAGATAAACTTAATCAAAATTTTGAGCTAAAATGAAGCTATAATCTAGTATCAAAGTGACAAAAAGCACATTTGAAAATATTAGTGAACTTACTAAGTGTGACTTCTGGGAAGTGAAATATGAGAAATATCTTGGGACACTGGGAGTAATTAGTTAGCATTTATAAGATAAAAGTTAGCTCCGCTAGCATCATTTATTTAATCTTGATGTTCAAAAGAAAATTATGGTTGCTCTTGTTCTTGTATCCCTTATGTATATCCCTTGTTGTAAGGGCTTCTAGGTTTTTCCAACCTTCGAAATAGGTACTTGTTTCAATTGAAATACATGTAAAAGATTCCATCTTTCCTCCAATCACTATTATCTAGAACCTCCTTAACAAACAGGGGCAGATGTAGTGTAGAAATATTAGGTTCATCCAAACCTAGTAGCTTTAGTTCAGACCCTGTATATGTGTATGCACTAAATAAGTTATGAAGGATTTCAAATTCAGTAAATCAAATGAGCTGTGCTAGATTTTCGAACTCGATCCCATAAAGTTCAGACACAAACTGTTGACTCGTTGGAATTCTTGGATTTCCTGCTTACTGTATAGGAGTCTGTGGGTACTTATTTGCATATATAGGTATATATGGATGCTTTCTGCGTATAAGTTGAGGTAGATATTCATACATGTAAATGGATTTGATAACTTAGTGTGAGGAAAAGGTTCTAGTGTTATCATTTGAGGTATCGACCTTCCTTTCTTGAGCTATAGTACTAGTACTGGTATCTTTATGTTCCTTTTGCTTATTTAATTGTTGAGGAACAAAAAGATTTTGCCTCTTTTCCTTTTCATGATTGCGGGATTACCTTTTCATATTGCCTAAAACTACATGTAGTCTCCATCTTTATTTTGCTGTTGCAAAGGCTCTATTATTACCACCCTATGTTCGTTAAAAAACTCTACATTAAATCATTTGGTGTCAAACACACAATGACAGAGACAAGATGTTGACTAATCTTTTGTGAGATTGTGACTGGTTAATTTGGCTATCGTGAGGTGATTCTCATACTCCAAAGCAGCTCAATGCTCAGATTCTGTAATTTTGGGGTTGGGGTGTTCCCTCATTTAAAGACTTGAGCAAGTTTAACAACGGATAACATAGTCCTTAGAGAAATTCGGTTTATTTTGATGAAATGTCTTTATCCTGACTATAAAATATACAGATGGAAGGACATTAATGTTCAAATATTACATAAAGTACATCAGAGGTTTTTCTTTTTGATTTCGTCCATCGGTAATTATGACGGCAAGCCTTATGTGTTTGTTAGATGGGTATCTTAAATTCATTATGTGCACAATTTAGTGGCTTCAAAGTTCAAACTAAGATAAATGTAGCTTCAAGCCTCCAACTGCAAAGTTCAAAGTGTGCTTTGCTAGATCTCTGTTTCCTATTGTTATTTTCTAAAGGACCAATTTCAGTTTAGTGCATGCACTTGCTTATTCAGTAATCAGTGTGCATAAATTGATTTAAACATTAGATAGATCAAGATTTTTTTTTTAGCATAAACGTATAGGAGGAAGCAGATTTTCTTGGTAGACAAATAACTAAATTACATGATCAATAATATGTGGTGGATCAAATAGATATATTTCCATGTTTGAAGCCCGCAGTTTATTCAATGCTTTCTTATTTATTTTGCTTAATCTCAGAGATTGATGGAGCTGGAAGTTACTGATATCTGTATGGACAAGGAGCAAAATGGTAGTGTAAGTTACTGTGATGGTGCGTCTCCAGATTCAAGTTACATAATTGACGGTAATCAAGATGTTCAGTCGCCGAAGCTTATTATAGGGGAACATGAAACTGATACCCTGAATGAGAGTGTTGAAACAAAGGAGTATGAAGTGAAAGAATGCACAGCTGAAGTATCAGTTGAGATATCCAAACTTTGTGAAGTTGAAAGTACCAAGGAGCAATATACACGTAGCTCAAAATGTGAGATTGAATTGCCTACAAAGGAGCACAAATCTGAAGTCCCAAAATTAAAAGATGATAATAAGAGGTCAAAAGCCTCAGTGAAATCGGCAGTCAAATCTACTGCTGGAAACTGCAAAACAAAGTGTACAGTTCCTCAGCCATTTGCTTTGGCAACTGAGAAGCGTGCGTCCCAAGGAACTCGTCTTGTTGGGAATGATCTAGACAATGTTAGTTTTGTGCATAAGTCACCTGAAGCCAATAATTCGCGAGTCCCAAGTACGAAACAAAACCAGGTTAGCTTCCTATGATGAGAGAGCTTCCTCCTAAATTTGTTACTGTTTCAGAAATGTTAATGCTTAACGATTACACTATTAGTCTATGGATCTAACTGCCTGTTAGTAACTGATTTCGTGGCTATTGTATTTCCGTCCAGGTGTCCTCACCAGTTGCAACTAGGAAGCCGCTACAACCTGATAACAAGAAGCATTCTGATGAAGAAGACTCATGCTCACTTACTTCTTGGTATCCACTTTCTCCACCTGATTTAAGTTAATAAGGTTTGCGCTATTTCTAATATGTTCCCTTGTCTTATGATGCTGCTTTGCTATTTGATAACTTATCCACAATGAGAAGTGCTATGCTACCATCAAGAAAATCCAGGGCCACTGCCGCGTCAGCCCCTATATTCCGATTATCTGAACGTGCAGAGAAAAGGAAAGAGGTAGCTGTTGATTTACTGAATTGCAAAAACTGCTCATTTAGTTCTATGTTTTATCGTGTTTCAGATTTCTACTTTCTACAATGTTGTTCCTCTCACTTAGCCCCTTTTAAATGACAACAAGAACTACAATGAGAAAGGAATTTTCATTTTTTTCTTAAAAGTAAAATGTTTAAATCTTGGTTAGTTCTTATATTGATTTTCTCTTTGCAGTTCTACTCAAAATTAGAGGAGAAACATCAAGCTATGGAGGCCCAAAAAATTCAATGGGAGGCAAGGACGAAGGTGCATCTTATCGCTGCTACCACTATCACTTGTTATGTGGAATACAAACAAAAGAGCATTATCCTACCAAAAACCGAGTAAATGAATATCTTAACAATCAACTTCAAATATGACATTTCTTTTCTTTTGTTTCCTCTTACCTTCAATAATTAGGAAGAGAGAGAAGCAGCTATAAAGCAACTGAGGAAAAGTTTGATGTTTAAGGCAAGCCCAATGCCAAGCTTCTACCATGAGGGACCTCCACCAAAGACTGAATTGAAGAAGGTAATGCAGTAACGTCACTGGTATCATGGCTTACATTATATGTAGTTTTTAGCTGTAGTGTTCACCAAAAGTTTGATCTACGGTGTAACGTTTCTGTTGTTGTAAGTGGCCTTACGAGTGTGTGACAGTGCAGACAAGGTTGCTCGCTCAAATGTTGATATTCTTAGTTGTCTATGGAAAATAACCACCTTATAATTCTAATTTCTTAGTGCTCTGTACTGCAGGCACCGCCAACACGTGCGAAATCACCAAAGTTGGGCAGAAGGAAGAGCTGCAGTGACTCAGTTTGTTTAGACAAAGGGATAGGAGCTTATGATCGAGGAACTCGCCATAGTCTTGAAGTTTACAACGAAAATGCTGCCTTTGATTCCAGAAATAGGAAAGATCGTATAAATATTCAGAACAGTACTGCCGTGTACAAATTTAACCACGAGGCCAATCATGCAGAGGAGATAAATGAATCATATATGAGAAAGATACATGACGAAATGAATGTGGACATTACTGTTCATTCTTGAGCATTTTGTGAGTCTTCTAATTTAATAAGAGGAGGAACTTTTCTTTTGCTTCTTGTTACTGCTGTTAAGGGTTGTGCATTTGACTGCTATTTAAACTGCAAAAGCTTTTTTGCAGTGATCTGTGTGGCGTTTATTTATGAAGTGTAAATTTCTGTAAGTTATTTCCATACTTGTGTAAAGTGACTCATTTTCGTGTAATTTATCTTTGAAGAAACTGGCTATCATGACCACTTTGTCCTTGTAAATTGCAATTTGAATAGTAGCATGTAATGTTCTGCCTTAGCGATCCTAGTACAATCTATATATCTCTTCAGTGTGGACTAGTGGTCAATGAAGTGGGATGAAAACTATGAGAGATCAAGGTTTAAGTTCCAAAAGAGACAAATAATGATAGATGATCAGTGTTCTCTTCTCTTCTGTTTAAGTTTTGATGTACAGAGTTACTCAGTACATGTGCTGGTGAGATATAGTAGGTATACGGTGGAATAGTCAAAGCAAGCAGAAGTTAGCGAGAAAATACTGTTATAAATCAAAATATAAAGTCTAGCTAGGCTTGTTCGACGGGGATGGAATGGGTGTACAAAGTAAGAGGCAAGCTTTAAGATGTTCTTTAGTGGTACATATCTGTTGTTTTTATCAATCAGGTAAAGAGTAATTATGAAAAATTTGTAAAGAAAAATGAAAGATGCAAATATAGCATAAAGCACATTCTGTTGAAGTGTTCCTTTTGATAATCTGCACAAAGATGACTTTTCAATTAGAAATATATGTATGTGGAAGCAAAAGCACAAGTCAAAAAGACCAAACTTTTAGTTATGTTTGCTTTTGACATCTTGAATTTATTGACACTCTTAATCATAGTCTATTGGATTTGTTCACAAGTTGACTCTAAACATAAATATATGGATTTGTGTTCTTCAATTGGCTCTAAACTATGTTACTTAATGTCTTTGAGTTGAATGTAGAATCCATTCTAACAGGGTGTAATCTATGAAAATTTCTAATCATTCATTATTGGTTTGTCAAATTGGTACACCTGCTCTAACTTTAGAGTGTCAACTCCTGAGTTTTCATATGCTCGAGAGCCTCCTGGTTTAGGATATGGTGCTAAAAGTCTTAAACTCAGTATTAAGGTCAATGCTTAACAATTAAACTAGAGTATTTCTATTTTTTTTAATTATCTAGTTGTGCATTTTTTCCCAGTTAATTAATCATTGTGATAGGTAGAGATGTATGTTGTTACCATTCTTTGCTAGAGTTTTTGCCCCTCGCTTGTTTGTCATACCATGTATAGGATGATTCACCGTAATGAACAAGCAGGATTGTGGTAGATGATAAGTACTTCATCTTTAATTAGGGTTTTGGGTTCGAGTCTCGTATCGAGTCGCCTTTGTTGGAAAACGTTTTTTCTCCCAATGTGGGATTTTATGTCACAAATTCGAATTTAATCGGGCCCTAATACGAGTATCGAACATAAATGGGAGACCAAAAAAAGACACAATGTGGGATGTCTAACATGCACACCCACAATTAGACATCTGTTGCATGAGCAATATAATACGAGGATCCAACATCGGATAAACTTATCATGTCTTGAAAACAGACTTTAAATTTAATTCAAAATGCGAAAAAGTTAGCTCATGAATACTATTGATATCATATTAATAAAATAGATATTAGATCTCACTTAAATTCAAAATTTATTTAATGAGATAAAAATTACACAAAATCATACAAGGAGATAAATGTTCATTCCCTAAATCGTGCGGCCTAAACAATTACCAACCACGGAAAAAAGAATTATTGCTTCATGCTAGGTGTAGCTCCAATCAAAGCTGTCAAATTGTCTATTTACTAGCTATGATTGATTTCTCTTAATTAGCAGCCAAGTTTGGAGCTTAGCACTCAAGTCATGTGATTATTTTTTGTGAAGTGATCGTTCAATAAGTTTCTAAAAGAAAAGCATGACTTGGAAAATGATTAGAAAATTACTGTTTAATGTCAATCTTATAGTCAATATTACTGTCCCTATACATTCTATTATGGACCACATTTTTTACCCTTTATTTCATGAACCTTGTTTGGGTGACGTATCAATGGGATCAAGGTAGGGGTAGGGGTGGGATAAGTGCCTGAGGAGTGGAAATAGAGTTTAGCTTACAGGTTCGGCCGAACTCATAATTTTGGTTCAAATCTTGCATTTATCTTAAAAAAATTATTGATATGTACAGGTTAATAATTCAGACAATAACTTAAATGAGGAAGGCATTAGCGTAATTGGTAAAATTGTTGTCACGTGATTAGGAGATCACGATTCGAGCCATGAAAACAGTCTCTTGCAGAAATGTAGAGTAAGACTTCATATGATAGACCTTTGTGGTCCGGCCAAAGTTTAGCTCTCCCGTGGACTATCTGAGTAAGAGGAAGTTAAGTATTGAATACCAATAAGCACAATGTCATATTCAAGATTTTAAAGTGAACTTACCTTTGAGAACAGTAAATACCATGAGAACACAGTAAAACATCAATTGATAAACCCTCTTTTTTTTTTCTTTTCGCCATCTCAACTTTTTCACCTTCTTATGCCCACTTCATATTTTCCTTTACTCTTTGTTGGGCTTAGATCTGCAAAAGCTTTAATTAGCCAACCTGTTTTTGCCTTTTCATTTAAGTTTGGAATCATTCTATCTGGGGACAAAAAAACAAAAAAGATTGCACTTGTTCTCGCGTTCATATTATCTGTCTTTTAAGATTTGTGCACACCAATTAAAAAAAGTTAATTAATTAAAGCTTTTGCATCAATTAGTATAATATTTCTGTTATCTTAGCCTCCTATACTCGTTGGGGGAAAAGAAGTAGTAGGCATAAAAATTTACTCGGTACTTGTGCGGGTGAGATGTATTAGGTGAATCGCGGAAATAATCAAAATGTTCGCAAGCTGACCCGACACCGTATTTATTACTCCCTCCGGTCCAAAATAAGTGATTTTTTGGTTTTTTTTTGTGGTCCAAAATAAGTGATTTTTCCAGATTTCAAGAATGAATTAATTATTTTTTTCCTACATTGTCCTTGGAGTAATTAATGTTGGAGTATGTGTTAAGACTGTTAATATGGTCAATTTCATTGCTAATTAATATTAAAAGATGAATTTCTTAATTTGCGTAAAAATCACCAAAAAATTTACTTATTTTGAACAGGATTCTTGATTGGACGGTTATTATTGAAGAGAGACTATAGTTATGGCACAATTTCAATTATTATGGCTGTTTAAAAACATGGGGTTTGTAGGGTGGGCAGAGTAGGTACTAGGTAGGGCTAAGCCTTGATTTTCTCTCGGCTTATTGCTTCACAAGTAACTCTTCTATTGACTTCTTCAGAAATACCGTTTTGGACTCTATTAATTGTAATTAAGAGGTGAATAGTCATTAATGCTTACATTAGAATAAATTATGTACATCACACCTTTGGGATACGATTCTTCTTTGGACTTTACGTGAATATAGAATACTTATGCACCAATACACATAATCTTTCGTAACAACAACTTCAACATCTGCGACGATAGACATAATATACAATTGCCAAATTTTTATTTTTGATGATTGTATTTATGAGATTCATCCCAATTTATTCTGAAGGCAAATGATCTTTAATTCCTCTTGCCTAAACTTAAAAAACCTATAATTATAAGAGGAAAATGGTCATAACTTCCGCTAACCAAAACTAAACTTAATCCTACCGATAAAATTTGTTCAAATTAGCTGTTGTTTTAATAAAGCTCCCTTCACAATTTTCAGTCAAAACCATGATTATAAAACGTGTAGTTGCTAGAAAAGTAAAAGGTCAAATTAGTAAGTCATGACTTATGAAAAGACAACGTATATATTAAGGGCCCTATATATATATCATGCATGACCCTTACCCTAACCAAAATAAAGAAATTAAACTCTCTTTCTCTGTCTCAATTCCAATATTCCTATTCCCTCTCCTCAAGAAACCAAAGCAAAATGGAAAACCAATTAGATTTTGTTGAGGGGAATGCTGTCTGGTTCGAAACCATTCTGTAAAGTGATCCAAGCCAATATTTCAGGGTCGAATCTTATATATGTGTACGAAAAAGAATATAAATAAAGTTTGATATACATTTCAGAACTCACAACGTCTAAATTCTGAATTTTCTATCGTAGATCAGAGTTGATGATCATTTGATCATGAGTGATTTCGGACCAGGCTTCATTCCCCTCAACTCAAGAGTTTTCACCAATATACTACTCATCAAAAGCTTATAAGGATCATTGCAGGTTCATTTTTTTTGCTGTTGTGAAATATATACTTCAATTAACATTATGTCATTTTTTTAGTTTTACAGCTGGTGTCCGGTATTTGCATTGGGGATCAATTGAATTTGAATTCGCGCTGGACGTGCAAGGGTAATGTGCTCTCTAACAAATGTGATTACATACTCAAGGCTCAAACTTGAGATCTCCGGATTGAAGATGAAGCAGCATTCACTGCCATTCTTTTTTTTTTTTTTTTTCCCTTTGAGATTAACTTTAGCTTTCTGGGTATCCTTTCTGTTGATGTTGATACTTATAGTGGTTGTGCCATAATTATTTTTACCTAAGTTTATTAAATGGAAATAAATAAAGATGCATTTGCTGTTGATTTTAGCCATAAAGATAAATTTTGATTTTAGCCTTTCTGTTGATTTCTGGGTATCCGTTACTTTAATTTTGGCTCCTCTGAGTTTATTAGGGGCAGCTATAGATTAAGTTATATACATTGTCGCAAAACAAATTATTTACATTATCTTGTCATTCAGAAAATATTTACAGGTAACTCTCTTACAATGTAAGATTTGAATGTTGAAATAAAATAGGTTAATTAGTACAATAGATAAAAGTAACGCTCTAAAGGGTGGTCAAGTGACCACGCTTCATCGAAAAATTACACGGTATATATAGGTAAAATATTAGATTTTAATGCTATATAACATATATTGAATATCTTTTATCGAATTTTCTTTTTACTTCTTTCAAGTTTGAATACTCTAGATAAAGTTTTTGACTTCGTCACCGCTGACGTGATCTAAAAATGGATCAAAGAATATGCAGTTTGTCTTGATGTTTGTTAAGGAATATAACTAATTTAGTCCCCCTTTATATATCTTTCTATGTTTTTCACCAAATTCATTGAAAAACATGGATTATGTGTAGTGTGGAAATATGACTTGATTGGGCAAAAGAAAAAGGTTTGGACTAGAAATATAAAGTTGGGTTAGG